ATTTAGGAATTATGCTATTCAAAGAAATTGGAAAGGATTTTTCAAATTTGTAGCTTATGGATCAGATAACAATTTGGTCTCAATTTAGTGATTTTTCTTGAATAATATTATCAGAGGATGACCACAATGAACAGAAACATTCTCAAAAGAAATGGTAAAGATGGAAGTTATCAGACTTGATGTAGACTACTGCCTATCTATTCAACCTTCTCCCACCTGCTCGTGTTAAGCTCCTCCTCATGAGTTTTCTATAAATGTCAACAACTGCAAAGTGCTGGCTACTAGCTGAAAGCTTAGTGGTTCAAACCCACCTGGCAGGTTTGCAGAAGAAAAGCCAGTTGATTTGTTTCTGTAAAATGTCAGCCCAGGAGACCCTATGGGGCAGTTCTACAACTCTGCCACACGGGGGCGCTGTGAGTCAGAATCAACTTGATGGCCTCCAACAACAACAACAATATTTAAAAAGCTATACAACTCTCTTCACTTACGGCCACTTAATTTTTAATTCCTTAGCGAAATAATTTTTGTTGGGATGACAGAAAACTGCTGAAATGAACGTTGTATACATGGCTGCAGATTGGAGGAATGATATTAATAATGGTCGTAACGAAGTCATTGTGGCCTGAATGCCGATGGAAGGTTTATATTTAATCTTCTAGTTTGCCAGACATGGCAGGATTTGGAAAAGGCATTTTAGATCATAGCTTTTTAGCACTAATCAGTGCCTGCTGTGCATGCCTGGTGCCAACATTTAATTGTAGTCAAGAGAATTTGAGAAAGAAAATGATCCATCCCTGCACCAGCAAGCTGCAAACAAAATCAATAGCGCTGCGCTGGCAAAGTTCTTCCATCGTTGTCTCCTTAATCTGCTCTCCTCTTTTGCAATTGCTTTTACTATTATTGCTCATTTAATGAGACTATGGTGTTCTAAGACAGATGGTGCCATTAGTTAAATCTGGAAGGCTCTAATGGAATTGAGTTCAAACCAGGTTAAAAGTAATAGAATTACAAATCTTCATGGCTATCACCTCATGGTACATTGCTTCTTGTACCTGTTAGGCACCAGAATTAGTGCAGGCTTCAAACAGGAAGGCTGGGGTTGACGTTCAGAGAGAACGTCATCTGCTCATTTACTTCACTGTTGATTTGCTCATTCATTTATTCAATCAGTCCTTCCATAGTTCATTGTATTTCCATCTGGGCACTGCACAATGACATGAACTGGACACACATAGTCCTTGCCTCATGGGGCTTATAGTTTACCAGGGGAGAAAGACAACATCAAGCAAAGGAACAAGAACATTGCACGTGCTAGGTAAGAAGGAAAGGAGACCTTGATGTGGAGGGGTTGAGGACATAGAAGTGGTCCAGAAACTTCTCTGAGGTGATGTTATAGAAGCGTTGTTGTTAAGTGCCATTAAGTTGGTTTCGATTCATAATGACCCTGTGTACAACAGAACACTGCTCAATCCTGCACCATTCTTACAATTATTATATTTGAGCCCATGTTGAAACCACTGTGCCAAACCCATTTTGTTGAGGGTCTTCCTCCTTTTCACTGTTCTTTCAAGCATGCTGTTCTTCTTCAGGGACTGGTCCCTCCTGAGAACATGTCCAAAGTACATGAGACAAAGTCTCAATAGTCTTACTTCCAAGAAGCATCCTGACTATACTTCTTCCCAGACAGATTTGTTTGTTCTTCTGGCAGCCCTTGGTATATTCAATATTCTTTGCCAACACTGTAATTCAAATGCATCAATTCTTCTTCAGTCTTCTTATTCATTGTCTAGCTCTTGCATGCATATGAGGCCAATGAAAGTACCATGGCTTGGGTCAGGAGCTCCTTAATCCTCAAAGTGACATCTTTGCTACTGAGCATTTAAAGAAGTCATTAGCAGCAGATTTGCCCAGCATGCTGCTTCCATTAATGTTATCGTGGATCCAAGTAAAATGAAATCCTTGACAACAGCAATGCTTTCTCCATTTATCATGATGTTGCTTATTGGTCCAGTTGTGAGAACCTTTGTTTTCTGTATGTTGAGATGTAATCCATCTGAAGGCTGGAGTCTTTGACTGTTAACAGCAAATGCTTCAAGTTCTCTTTGCTTTCAGCATGCAAGATTCTGTTATCTACACCTCACAGGTTGTTAGTGAGCCTTCCTCCAATCCTGATGTCACATTCTTTTCATATTGCCCAGCTTCCCAGATTATTTGCTAAACATGCAATCCTGAATTTTAAACTACACAGTGTCCCCTTGTTCTTCTCAAATAACTGCCTCTTGCTCCATGTACAGGTTCCATGTGAACACAAAGAAGTGTTCTGGAATTTCCATCCTTCGTGTGTTATCCTTAATTTGTTATGATCCACACAGGAAAATTTAGTAATTAGGGGACTGGAGCCACTAGCCACTGGGTCAAAAGTAGGTCAGACATTGTTACCCAAAGCAAGAGGAAGGAGGAAAAGGATCAGATGTTGGAGAGACTCAAAGGTGATTGAAATGCCCTTCAGGAAGTCCTGCTGTGTGCTGGACAGAAAAGAACTGTCCCATAGGGATTTCTAGGCTGAAATCTTTATGGGAGCAGGTCACCACATTTTTTTCCTATGGAGCCACTGGTGGGTTCAAACTGACAACGTTTTGGTTAGCAGTTGAGTCCTTAACTATTCCACTGCCAGGGCTCCTTGAAGTAAATGTAAGAAGTGCATTTCTTCTATAAAAGGCAATTTTAGGGTCACACCACTCATTTGTCTCGTTCTCTCCACAAGGGTCAAGGTTATATTTCTGAGGCTCCACACACCATCAGCATTAGGGCACTCTCATGGGTATTTACTGTTCCCTCTGTAGGTCTTCCTTGTTACAAAAATGAAATTCGCATTCCTGGATAATCATACTGTCCAACTGTTGATCTTTCACTCAACCACCACAACTCTGGGTCCAGCTGGAATCTGTTAGATGGCCAACCTTACCTAGAACCACTTTCCTCCCCTCACTTATTGCCAACCACAGCTATCCTTTTGGTTGTTTGGGTGGCACCAAACATCTTTACCCCGAGGTCTCTGCATATGGCAATCTTATTTTGATGCTGGACAAAACCTGAGCTCTCTGCCTGCTGCAGATGTGAGACCAAGAAGACACAGAGGCAGGCTTTCGGTTAGGGAGAAAGGGTCAGCTTTGACTGGAGTCACCAGAAAACAAAGAGACTGGAGGACAGGGGGAATCTTTCCCACTAACTGTCTCCCCGGGGCAGGGATTTGGGAGAGTGTTATAGGGGCTCAGTACTGAACAGGGACAAATCATCATTTATCAAAGACATGGAAACCTGTCATCAGGCAAGGGTGTGGGTACAAATCACAATAGTGAGACGATGACTAGTAAGTCTTTTTGTGTGATGTTTCCATCCTCAGTTAGTGTAGCTTCAGTAGCTGGGACTGCTATCTGGAGTCTGGATCTCTTCCTTCTAGGCTCATTGTGAAGGAACTGGCCTTACACAGAGGCATTTTACACATCTTTAAGTCTAGTTTTGGACTGCTTCTTCCCAGGTTCCTGATTTGAGGAGTGGGGTGGGGAAGGGAGGAGATACAAGCAAGGAAAACTGTTGGCTTAAAATAAAATGTCTTGCTGGGGCCTTTTTTTTTTTTTTTTTTTGCCTGAAGAAAGCATAACGATGTTTTAAAGGAGCAAACACTGTCTACACCAGTGTCCGTAAGCACAGGTCTTCCTTCTGTCTCCAAAATCAGCTCCTTTCCCTAGTTCAGGTTTCCACCTCAACACCTAATACACCATGTTATTATTAACTGCCCTTGAGTCGATTCCTACTCCTAACAATCTTGTATAGGATTTCCGATGCTGCAAGTTATTGCAGGAGTAGAAACCCTCATCTTTCTCCTGTGAAGCAACTGGTGGGCTTGAACCGTTGACCTTGAGGTTCACGGTCCACTGCGTATCCTACAGAGCCAGCACACTCCAAAATATACCATGTTGTTGTTGTTGTTGTTAAGTGTCATCGAGTCTGTTCTCACTCACAGTGACCCTGCAGAAGGTTTCCAAGGAGAAGCTGTTGGGGTTTGAACTGCCGACTTTGTGGTTTGCTGTCCAGAGCTGATCCTAGAGCGCCACACCAGGAGTCCTAAATGTACCATAGATCAGAAAAATAAACAACTCACTTACATCGTGGCTGTAACATATGGTTCTCAAACATCTCCTCCCACCCTTTAGATTGTCTCTTCACATTGGTGATAAAAGCCTTTGATGCACAAATGTTTATAATTTGAGTGAAGTCCAAGTTATCCATTTTTTCCTTGGTTGGTTAAGATTTCAGTGTCATTCTGTCATTTTCAGTGATTCACAAACTACTAGGGATCTTACAGTGCATGAGAACCATCCATATGTAAATACCTTATTACTTACTGTCCAGGTGAGCTACGACAATGTCCATTTGCAGGGAAGGGTGGCCATGTAGATGCTGTGCCAGTTTTTAATGACCTTTGTACTTGCTTGAAACGTGTAAAACGTGTATCTTAAATTCTCTTCTTTAGAGAAACTTCCAACAAGGTCTTGGAATAATGGCACAATTATCTTGCAATGTATTTTCATAAAAGGTCAACTGCAAGACCTTCAGCGTCAGGAGAGGACACTAAACAGGCCACAATTTCAAATTAATCATTTTGATGAACAAAAGACTGAAATTAAAGTAAAGAGAAATAAACAATGCACATGGCGTCCTCCAAACTTCCTGGTACCTTTGCCTGTAAGCTAATGCCACATGTTGAAATCTAAACTTCAAAAGTAGCCTCAAACTGGAACCTTTCCACAGGAAAAGTCAGACAGCAAATATTGACCCCAGGATCAATGATTTCTGATGAAGTTACAAACTGCTGCAGACCTAAGAACAGTTTGGTCACATTTGATAAAGACAACTGCTCTCAGGGGGACTTGTCACCCCCAACGCCCAGAGGGAGATTGAAAGAGCTGGACCCCCTACTCGGCATGAAATTGATTCTTCCCAGAATGGAGAAGGTGATGAAGCTATTGATTGTGCTTGTTCTTGGCACAGACACCTGGTCCTGCTCAGGTAAGAGTCTCAGTGGTGGGGCCACCTCTTCATTTAATGACCTGAAGCCTTCCTGGCCATGTGTCTCTGTGTCACTGAGGCCCCGTGGGCTTTGTGTCCAGGGTTCCCAGTATATGACTATGACCCGTCCTCCTTGAAGGAAGCCCTTGATGCATCTGTGGCAAAAGTGAATTCACAGGCCCTGAGTCCCTACCTGTTTCGGGCATTCAGAAGCACAGTCAAAAAGGTAAGTGTAGAAATGCAATCGTATCCTCTTTACCGCCTTCTGATGATATTTATTTATTTTTTAATATTGTCACTTTGTTGGAGACATTTAAAATGTTCAGTTTAAAAAGACAA